CTGAGTATGCTACTTATTATCATGTCTCTGTGATGTTTCCTGCTTTCTTTCACTGTTTGATAAAGTTGGGGTGTTTGGCACGTGAAAAACAAGATGCAACATGAAACCTTTCTGTATGTTTTGTGCATTTAAGCTAGCTCACATGTCTGCAACATGTATCTGTGTGCTTTGCAAAACTGGAAACGATTCTCAACTGTTGTGCTTTTCTGAGGCTGCGCCTTTTTCTTGCTCTTTGATTATGAATTACAGTTCTACGCCTCCCCTCCCCCCCAGCTAATGGCTCAGAGGGGTTAATGTTCAGTACAGCCCATGATTGCAGCGAGGAATTTCACTGATGCTGAGGATGAAAATCAACAATGTGGTCAACACAGCTGAGCAGTTTCCAAGTGTTCCTGCAGCTGCTGGGGGGGGGGGGGGGGGGGGGTGTTCTCTGGGCAACAATCTAAACTTTATAAGAGAAAGAGAACTGGGAGGAAGAACAACAGTAGAGAGAAAGATGGATTCAGACATGAACTGGAGACATATCAGATTTATGCACACATCAGGGTGGGGCAGCGCTCACAGCAGACTGGAGGTGTTTCAGGGAACAGCAGCCTCTCACCTGGCTGTCTGCCACACAGATGCCTGCTGTCTGTTTCTGCACCCACTGGATTTTTTTCCACCATTCATGTTAAAGCTTTAGCGTTTTATGACCATGAGGGTGAATATGTGGTGTTTTGTGGACGTTCTAAGAGGATGCTCGACACCAGAACATAACTTTTAGTACGATCGTGAACTGAAATGGTTGCTTCACGTTGGGAAGTGGTGAACCTGCTCTTTGTTGCTCCTCCTCCTCACCCTCCACGCCTGAGTTGCCTGCAGCTTGTCCCAGATGAACCCCTTGGAGAGACTTCACGTCTCCGAGCCCAACAATGACTTGTTCCCATCTGTGCAACATCCATAAACACACGGCACACAATGGCGCAAGCTGCAGCTGCAGCTCACAAGGATGTTACGGAGTGAATGAGTCTGTGTTGATGGACCATCGGAGAGGCAGCGATGCTCCTGGGAGCCACTGCTGGTCACATTATCATACTAGTTAATGCTGCAGGTTTTGTGTGGCAGTGGCTGTCACAGGGCTGCTGCTGCAGCGATTTTGTTGTTAGAATGGCAAAACCTGGAGTCTATGATTACCCTTGTTTGGTGCAGTCTCCCTTCTGATGCTGAAGGTTTAATTGAGCTGCTCGGTCAAAGGGATGGATAGAAACAGATTTATGTGAGGAGTGAAGGACAGAAAGGCAAGGATCGGCAACAAAAAGACAAGGGAGGACGGTGGAAGCAGCATAATGATTGGTTGAAGAAGAATAACGTGCATTTCCTTTTGAAAGGCGAAAGGGATTTGCATTTTCAATGTCTGATCGCTCCAATAAGTATTGACAGGAGCAGCCTGAGTGAAATTACCAGGACGGTCTCGAGGGTAAATGTGCTACAGCAGAAACAATCATGTTAATGAAATTAAAAATAATGTAAAAAATGGATTTATGTGTGTCCTTATTACAAGTTACGAGTGTGATTGAGCTCATATGGCTCCCTGCTTCAGTCACTGGCAGGTTGCTGAATGGTTCTCAGTCCTGTGTTGAAGTGAGGAGCTGGTGTTGTGGACAGATCAGCAGATGTTGGTTCTTTGCTCCTCGGCCACCTGTCACAGCCACAGGTCGTCCTGTTGATCAAACGCAGCCCCGGTAACACGCACACATATACAGGGAAACATGTGCGGTCTGGAGCTCTGCGGAGAAGCTGTTGCAGTGCACCAAATTAACGATTCTTCTGTGTTGCCTCGCCGCTCTGATTACTCAGGCGTCTGCTCCTGATCAAAAACCCCACTCAGCACTCGGAGCATTAATCCATTCACGCAGCAGCCGGGTAAAAGAAGGGTTAATAGAGGAGCATCTTCTCTTTGAATGGAGTGTCAACAATGATACTTTCATGTTTGCTTTCTGTTAAACTCCCCTTTGAGGAGTGCGGCTGTAAAGTTGCAAACTCAAAGACGCAGATTCAAAGGCTCCAGTTGTCTTCTAGCTTGCGTGTGTGTGTGTGTGTGTGTGTGTTTGAAGTCGTGCATGTGTGTGTGTGTGCAGCTGAGCATTAGGATCTTGTGCACCTTCAGGATGCTGTCAACATGAAGAATCCCCACCCAACCGCCACCACCCTTTTCATCAGGCTGCTGCTTGGCTGTTTGATTTGGTCTGTGCAGACGGGAGTGGGCCCAGTGGGCGTCAAGTGGGGGCTCATGTCGACATGCTGTCAGAATTTTGTGGAGAATACTTGCTGGTGATTTAGGGGAGCTAAGGGTCAGGTGGATTGACAGGCCAGCCTTGGCTAAATGATTACAGAGAATAGGAAAGGAGGGAAGGAAGCCAGTGGGAGGGAGGAATTAAATTTGAAAAGATGAGATGATGCAGAGCAGGAAATAATGGACAGATCCATTTTTTTCTTCCTAGACAGACAAACATTTCAACCTAACAGTTTCTTTATTCTTTCCCCATTCCCCCTGCTGTGAGGTTGTTTAACTTCACCAGTCATCAGTATTCATGTAGTGGACCAAAAAAGAAAGTCTTAATCAAAATAATGGGTTATATTAGCCTTCCTGGAAAAAGGGTTGCAGACAAAGACTCATAAATTCAACCCCGTTAGACAACTGAGCCCGCGATGGGGACTGGGACTTGGACAGAGGCGTCATGTGCGGAGATGAATTTAATTTGGCTGAGTGAATTACCGTATTACAGCTTTCAGTGTGATGGTATGAGAGGGAGAGAGGTGTAGGATTCCTATGGGTATAAAATAAGATATGGGCAGTCAAAATGAAATAAACCAGGATCCCAGCAGAGAAATTAATTAGTGTCCAAATCCATATCAAAGCTGGAGGCCACGGATATTAAAAAAAGAAAATTAAACAACCCATTTATCAGTTATTTTGTTGATGCCCTTCAGTTTTTTTTATTTGATTTTAACCTTTTACATGAAAATGTATTAGGAAGCAGCATAAGAATAAAACTACACACAGAATATAAATTATGGAGGACATAAAACTCCCTGTCTGTCATTCTGTCTGAGTCCTCACTGTCTCATCATATTTTATTAGTTTCTGACAAAATAACATCTTTGTTTCAGGGAATTCCCGGCAGCGTTATCACTTTTCATCCACGGCCATCTTTATAGAAGGTCTATTGTCCACAACAGAGACTATAATTAGACCAAACTGATTCTCTGCCTCAAAACTTACCATTGACCGACAAAGATCCCCCTCTCTGTGTCAATGCATGAATCATCACTCATTGTGGATGAATGAATAAAGAAGGCAATTAAATTATTATTCATTTATTAAACATTTTGTCCGAAGGTGGTATTGCTCAGACCCATTTAGTTAAATGTCATGTGAAAAGTTTTAAATTCAGACGGGACATTCATCACATAATGATTTCATTATGGTTCAGAACATTTCAACTTTAAGTTATTGGTCATGTGAGATGCAGAACAAGGAGCCAAAATGGTTCAGGAAATGTTTTCAACACAAGTTAAAGGAAAAAACTGGTTGGAGTAAATGAAACCCCTATTGGCCCATTACTATGACCAATAAATAAATAAATAAATCAAATCCATGTAACATGATACTGATAGTAGTGTAACCAAAATTAATCAACCAAATCTATCAAAATTAATCAATCAATCCAAAAAAATGTGTTTTATTTTGTTAAAACAAGGAACACAGTTTGTTCCTTGTTTTTATCAGGCACCAGTGTAAATCTGTTGTGCAAAACAGAGATTTTGGTGAAGAATCACGTTTTTTCTCTGCAGAGAAAGATGTTGAACACAAATATAAGTTTGTTGCTTTGTGTCTACTAAAGTGGACAACTTTTTATTTAACGTGACCATATTTTAATCACAACTGCGCAAACAAAAGCTTTTTCTGCAGAAATGCAGTGTGAATCTCAAGAGCTAATGGACTTTACTTAAACCAGGTTAAAGCTAAAAGTAGTAAACAGTAGCTAAAAGCTAAAAGAAGCCGAACACTCACTAAGAAACTAAGAGGAGCAGGAAAAAAACGCTACCAAAGAGTTTGTAAAACAACTTAAATATAAAAGACAAAACAGCAAAAGGTTAGCTAAAAGTGAAAAGTAGCAAAATGCTAATTAAAAAAAAGCGAAAAGGCGCAAAACACTTGCTAAAAGTAGCTAAATGGTAGCTAGAAGCTAATAGCAAAACTGACACTGATTCGTGTTTGAAATTTTTACTCTTTAAAAATGAGCTTGTCCATGTTTGTCTGGTGAAAGTTGGTTGTTGCATTTTTCATAACGACATCGCTCTTAGTAAAAATGGTGTCTAAGAACTACCGGTAAATGTCACTGAGACAAAGAGTCCCCCCGTCCCTCTGCACCATCCTGCCCATTTAAAGACCCTGTTGAGAAGCTAATGGCCAGTTTGAGCAGATCTGATCCACAGAAGATCAGGACATTTGAGACTGACAAAAACATTTTTGGGAATTCTTTAAAACCCAAACAACTTTAAAAATTAGCGACTTTTAATCTGAAGCAAAACTGGCTCCGTCCCTGACGTCTCTGACCGCACTGTCGCTGTGTCAGAGCTCCATTCTAGTTTTCATCACATTTCACAGAGTGTTTCATTAAAGCAACATCACAGCATTTGTTTACTAATTTATTGATTTCTTTTCTAAGTGGCCAGCTACATTTTTAATGAAACTTGTGGGATTGGTAGTCTGCAGTACACTGCAGCTCTGCACCACTGTTGCTTCATGTTTTGCAGAACTGCTGAGGTTTGGACAGGCGTTTTCAGCTCTTTTCTTATCCATTATTAATCTGTGGAGTATGTATTTCTCTGTGTTCTCTTTAGAAACTGTAAATGTTTCTCACAATCCTTGTAAATCCTCTTATCTCTGCTCACTTTGTTTTTCCTTCTGCGAACAGATAATTTCACTAAAACAGTAGTTTGTGTTGCGGGGCGTCATGGCAGACGTTGACAGCGTGTGGTTCTCCAACATCAAGAAAGTTCTCCTGATAGGCCCTTTCATTCTGACACCAAAGAGTTATGGTCAAAGAGTTTTCTTTAGTTTTTATTCTCCCTGAAGAAATGGAGTGGATCACGATGTTCAGCCTGCAGGGATTTTAATGATCCAAGATTTTACTGATCAAACTAATGTTTCCTTGAACTTTAGAAAAATTTAACTTTAAAATGAGGAACTAGACTGATGATGCCTAAAGCTGCAGCTTCATTTGTTAAACTTTGGCCCTTATGGTCAGAAGAGCCGTCAGATGAAGTTTGTGGATGCAGTTGCGGGTGTTCGACACACACACACTTGCTCACACACTGAGTGTTATGACTGCAGCTAATGGCTTATTTATTTGGTGTGTTTACATTTAAGCATATTGATTTTGGATCCTTTGGCTCTTTCCTACTCTACAGCTGCACTTCATTTGAACTAACTATGACTCAAATAGATGGGGCACGAAGAACGAACACTCGAACTGACGCAGCATACTCCGATAGGTGATGTAAGAAAACAAGCTGTCTGTACTCGTCTGGCCTCGGTGTCGCTGTGTTGTTGTGACTGTAGGATCTGGCAGGCGGTTTTTAATCTGCTGTGTCAGCCATGATGCATTCATTAGAGTTGGATTACAGAGTGTGGGAAGGGATCACATTTGGAGTGGGTTGTAATCCCCATACAGCAGCCTAATTTAATCGCACCTACTGTGCCATCCTATTACACACTACACCCACCACATGCATGCAGGCGCTGGCTGGAGGAGAGGAAACAGGGGTCATACAAGGTTAAAACAGGGTAATGTGAGACGAAAGGCCTGAAGACAAAAAGGAGGATAATAGGAGCTTTAGAGAAACAAAAAAAAAAATTATTCTGAACAGCAGGAGAGAGATTCAAGTTCAAAGACATAAAAATGTAAAAGAAATGTCAAAAGATAGAAGTAAATTAGAAAGTGGTGCAAATAATACCAATTATTTGGAAGTGGGGCGGGCAGCACGGTGGCACAACTGGTAGAGCTGCTGCCTCTCAGCGAGCAGGTCCTTGGTTCAAACCCCGGTCCAGGGGCCTTTCTGGGTGGAGTTTGCATGTTCTCTCCGTGCATGCGTGGGTTTTCTCCGGGTGCTCCGGTTTCCTCCCACAGACCAAAAACATGCATGTTAGGCTGATTGGTAACTCTAAATTGTCCCTAGGTGTGAATGAGAGAGTGAATGGTTGTTTGTCTCATTTGTCTCTATGTGGTCCTGTGATGGACTTGCGACCCGTCCAGGGTGTACCCCGCCCCTCGCACAGTGATTGCTGGACATGGGCACCAGCAACCCCCGTGACCCAAAATGGAATAAACGGGTAAAAGATAATGGATGGATGGATGGATGGATGGAAGTGGGGCTTTGTAGGAAGGTTACTAACAGTTACCTTATCTGTTTTACATTTGAACAACCTCAGTTTGGAGAATTAACGTATTGTCCGGTGTATAAGTCACAGTTTTTTTGCATAGATGTGTCAGTCCTGCGATTTATACGCTGAAGCGTATATGTATATGTTTTTGTTCCATATTCATAACGCAATGTTTGACTGACGCTTTACATTTCTAAGAACTGCAATAGCGAGTCCTCCTGTGAGTGCTTGCTTCATTCAGCCGGTGCAGGTGGAGGAACGCTGGTGAGCTAGTGGCTCCGGCCGTGATGGATGGATGGATAGGTGGATGGATGGATGGATGGATGGCACCACGCTGCCAAGGCAAGATGAAGCTGCTTTGACTATTAAATAAATGCATACTAAACACGACAGGTCAGCAGTGACGCATAATAAATGAAGCAACTTAAATATGTTTTTTTCCTCTTCGTGATGCTTGTTTTGATTGATGCAACTTATGCTCCAGAAAATACAGTAGTTTAAATTTGACTCAGTTGAAAAACTTGTGGCTAAGCTGGGTGGATTGTTGCTCTTTTAATACAAATCTGACTTTAATCCTTCCACATCAGTTTGTGCAAACGTTGTTTTAGCTGTGTTGTTCCTGGGAAGAACGTCAAAATGTTTCTGAACGTATCAATGGGCAATGCAAAACTGACAGCTTTGTGAATATTCATGAAACAGCATTCACACAAACTGCTGTGATGTTTTAAAGATTTAAGCAGTTTTAAGACAGCAGGAATCCACTTTAATTTGTGCCTCACACAGATTAGCTGTTAGCTCGTCGCTCTGGTCAGAAATAAACCCTAATCCTCCAAACTGAGATCATTCAAAGAGTTATCTACAACAGGTAAGATAATAACTGTTCATAACCACCTTACATATAAAACACTTCAAAAGGTTTTCTCTTTCAGAAACCTGCTGCTTCAATCAGGTGTTTTATGACCTTTTGTAAAACATCCATGCATTGTACCAACATGCTCAGAGCTCCTGGAATATAATCCAAAAATAGCCTTTACTCTGCTAGAAAAGCCTTAGCTGTGGCAGCCATCTTGAAATGGTTTTAGACGTGCATCCACTGCTTCCTTTCTGGGAGTTTAATCAAATCAATTTGGTTGTTCAGGAGATATTTTGTTAACACTACAAAAAAAGCAGACACAAGCAAAAGCATTATCATTACTGCTTTCGTGTATGGGCGATGAAAACTACACCACCTCCTTCGTATCTGGCCAGTTTGCAAATTACTCATATTTCAGTAACACAGAACTTTACCGGTGAAGAACATTTTACAGAACGTCTCTTGTCTTTATAAGAATCTGTTCCTGTTCGCCTCTTTGGACTTGGTGTTTATAAATCTTTGAGAGTTCATTAAAATTAGTCGAGCTGCAAAAGGAGCTTCGCACAAACCCCAAGTTGCAACGACGAGAGTGTGCATTTTGTTTTAAAGGTCTGTTTACCTCTGCCATCACGCTCCGTGATGCAGACAACTGAGCGGTTGTTGTGACTAGACACGAAGGGGGTGCGTTCTCTTTCCTCCAATTCATTTTGGGAAATCATTTGTTGAGTTCGTTGTTGAGGACTTACTGATGTAGCGGTAAGCGTTAAGGAGACATGGGGTGAGGCTTGTTGATGTGAAGAAAAGATAAAAAGGGACAAACCCCAGGAGAAAACACGGGAGCAACAAGAGGAGAGAAAACAGAGCCGCTTTCATAAACAGGGTGGAGGGGATGAGGAGCAAACACAAAGCCCACCGAGCTGAACAAGCTGGAGAAAATAGGCAAAAAGGTCCGGATCTTGTTAATGAGCTTAACTAGATAATTATACACCAACGCTAAAGACTTCATCCTGCAGGCGTTGTGCAGGAGATGGGGCTGGAGAAGCAAAGAGCTCTGAGAGAATGAAAGCACTTTTCCTGTAAGCATCCTTTTAACAATCTTGATGGAACCATTAAAGTTTGATCCTGCTCACGGCAAAAGCAGGAAGTGTGCAGAGGTGGACAATATGTGGAGATAAAGGCGTGGAGGCTAAAGGCCAATCCTGAAGTGGATCAGATATGAGAAACACACATACCTTCAGAGTTTTATGATAGCTTCAATTTCAGTCCCAATTTATCCCAACATCCTCTCTTCCTTTTGAATTTATCTGTAAAGTTAACATTGCTTTGACAAGTATGTTGTGAAAAAAGTGGACAAAGAAGCATGAATGTTAGTGACAGGATTCTACCTGCACTGTCTATTCCCTGTGTTTTCAACCACCCGTCTCCACAAGTGTCAGGGAAACTGAATTTTTTTTTTTAATTCGGCGTGAATAAAGAAACAAAAGTCTTGTTGAAGCTTGTTTGTTTTGCTCGTAGCAGCTGGTGAGTTGCTGAAGTGCTGTGTGGGTGTCCTACATAGGAAGCGGCACATTCAGCATGTTTTAGACTTGGTTATATCACAGGACGGAGATGATTTAGATGTCTGCCTCTGCAGGGATTCAGTGTTCCAGAAAGTCATGTCTGGTTTGTTTTCTCCATGTGAAAACAAATATCTGTGCATGTTATATATGGAGCAATAAAGATTTGTGCGCTGGTGTTTGTTTGTCTGTACAGAGTGAATGTCTAACGTCAGGATATATAAAAATGTCTTTAATTCATACAATCTGACAGACATTGAGCTACAGTTTGAAATGACGATGTGTTAGCTGAGAGCATTCACATCACACACTTTGTGCGTGACGTCTCAGGATGACGCACAAGGCTGAACATGATGTTATTTTTACAATTTGTCTAAAACAGCTATGATTTCATGATTTCTTAGTCCAAACTTTTGGCATAAAAGATGGCTGGCCATATGTATTCCTTCAAGGAATTCTAGGTTTTTTAATGAAAAATGCCTTTTCATCAGCAGCTAGGTGTGAGCATCTGTGTGGGAGAGAACAGTAGATATGAAATGTCAAGAGTTCATTGGCTCAACTCTATGAAAATCTCATTTGGTCATTTAGCCGCAGGCAAAGGTCACCACTGTTTTCCTCGCATCTCCATGGCCCATCTCTCCGTTTCTGTTTTTCTGGGTCTCTCTCGCCGGAACTCGATACAAACCCTTTCTGTCGTCCGCCACAACTGAAGTAAAAAGTGTGGAGCAACGAATATACTGCCACAGCTGGGGCGTCTGTGTACAAGCAAAACCCTGAAAGGAAGAATATGGGAGAAATAAAAGCAGAGGAATAAATAGAAGAGCATTCTTACTACTTTTTTTTATCACTTCCCTCTGCAGATAATATAATATAGCTGCCACTTTCTTTAAATGCCTGACGGGAGATGACGCAGACTGATGCAGACACCGACGGGGTGGATCAGGTTGTGTATTTACACTCTTTCATATTTCGCCTCGCTGAAAATTGGAACACGCTGCAGAAAATGTCACGTCCTTGATCTCTCGCTCTTTTTTCCCACCACTACAGAGTGGTGCGTGGAGGGATTTGAGCTGCGTGGAGACATGCGGCGAGGAGGTGGTGGTGGGGTCTGCAGCAGAAATAGGGCTGTGAGCCTCAGATAACACAGCAGTGTTCGGCGTTGTTTGGCCCCTTTCCTCTGTTGGGGGGGGGGGGCAAGCTGCTGTGGCTGGAATGCATCTCGGCTGTGGACTCTACTGGTCCTGAT